GGGGGGGGGGCCCAATACACCCTGTAAAGGATCAAGAACAATCGGTTTCTCTCAATCTGAGGGTTTATGAAGAATCTGTCTTTTGTCCTCAAAACTAAAAAAAAAAGTCACAAACACACTTGGCCTGCTCTAACTCAATGTTTTTCATGAGACATTTCACCCCACTGAAAAGTCATGTCCCACATTAAATTCAAACTACTTATTCCAACCCAATCAGCCCAATTCCTAACTTTCATTTTTTGCTAAAAATTACCTTCCTAGTTACCAAAGTTTTAAATTCTTAGAAGTTAACTTTGATTCTTCTTCTTTCCCCCATCGCCATTAACTCGTTTGAGTCCTGTGCACACAAATAATATATTAACCATCCTAACATGTGTGTTTCCATTGTTACCAATGATAACTTGGCTACCACTCCTCTGGGCACCCCTCCCTAACAAATCTGGTCTCCAATTATTATCTTCCTCTCATTTCCTAATTCAACCTTCCTAGTTCTATGTAGGCTTATATTCTTATGACTTAACTCGCATGCCGTATCTCAATTTTTGTTCATATGGTTTCTGTAGTTGAGAGTATTTTTCCTGCACAATCCAAGTACCATTCAATCCTCACAATAAAGTTTCATGTCCCACGTCTTCCAAAAAACCTTCCCTACCCTACCTAGTAACTGCTGATCTCTCCTGTGTAGCTCAGAGCCCTTTCTATCTCTATTACTCATCTTGATCTGGTATTTACCTTTTTACAACCATGTCTTAAGTCTGACCCACTTTAAGGATTACCTCCTCCGTAAAACCTTCCCTGAACTCTTGATCTTCCCCAACAAATAAGCTCCTCCTCCAATCCTTCCCATCTTGGTAAATGGCATATCCACCTACTCAGTTGCTCAAGGCAGAAACCTGGATGTCATCTCTTCCTTCAAGTCTCATCCACCCTTCCAACCAGTTTCAAATTCTGTTCATTCTCTTCAGTTGATCTCACTCCTGTCTTTTTTTTTTTAACCTTCATTGAAACCCAGCCTATAATCATCTCACCCCCAAACCACAGCAAGAGCCTTCTAAAGTGGTCTCATTTCTGCTTTTGACTCCTTTCTATTCTTTCTTCAGAATGATCTTTTAAATATGTAAAATCCTTCTTTGGCTTCTCACAGTTTTTAGAATACAATCTAAAGTCTCCATGAAGGGCTGGCTGCAATGACACACAACTGTAATCCTAGCACTCTAGGAAACTGAAGTAGGTCGGTTGCTTGAGCTCAGAAGTTCAAGACCAGCCTGAGCAAGAGCGAGACCCCATCTCCATTAAAAATACAAAAACTAGCTGGGTGTAGTGGCACACACCTGTAGTCCTAGCTACTTGGGAGGCTGAGGCAAGAGGACTAATCAAACCCTAGAGTTGAGATTACTGTGCGCTTTCGTGATGCCACGGCACTCTACCCAGGGCGACAAAGTGAGACTCTGTCCTTACAAAAAAAAAAAAAACCTCTAGAAAGGGTAGAAAGGTTCTAGTAAATCCTTCCTTGGCTCCTGTATTCTCCAACTCATTCTACATAGTCTCTCTCTAGTTCATCACTCTCTTGCCATACTAGCCTTTGGGTTATAACTAGCCAAGGTCTTTCCTGATTCCTTTAAATAAGGAACAGGAACAGACTCATACTCATTTTCCAGGTCTCAGCACATAAACATCCTTTACTCTCTGATTCTGTTAGATTAAAAACTTACCTTTTGCCCCTCAATCATAACATTTTATTTTTTATCCCATTTGTCACAAGTTGACATGACACATTTATTTTACTTGGTTAATGTCTGTCTGCCCTATTAGATTGCAAGCTCCACAAGGACAAGGACTAGGTCAGTTTAGGTCCGCACTATAAATCCACTATATAGAACAATGTCTGGCATAGGCTACATGCTCCATATATATGTTGAATGAATCTTGTCCCTGTGCATACTTCTATTACTACACTTATAACATTGTTCCATCATTATTTGTTTACATGGTTTCCTTAGCAAATAATAGTTCTCTTGAGACTCTGTGTATCCCTATGACACAGCACAGGAGTTTAGTAAGTATTTAATGAATTGAATTATTTGCTGAACTATAAGCCTCTGAAGAGCAAGCATTGTGTTTTGTTTATACTTTTGTCATCTACTATGACTACACATATTTGGCACTCAACACAATGTCATTGGCTTAGTAGAAAACTTCACTTCATCCACATGGGGACAGCAAAAACAATTTAAATACCGATTTTGTTTCTATAAAAAGTTCTTGTCACGTAATTTAAGGTTCACTAGTACTTCTGATTTTTTTTTTTTT